CTAATTTGAAATTATTAATGATAAAATAGATTAAAATCTTCGTACCTCTAATTAAATAATTTAAAAATAGTCTTCTATAGGTAATAACGTTCTCAATTACCTTAATAAACTTTATTTATGGAGTCGAGGTTCCACCGAAAGAATGTTGATTATTTAGGCATCCGTTCCCGAAAAAGATTGGGATCCTTTGCACGAAAGCATTAATGATAATGTTTTTCAAAGTTCATATTCAAAAAACATATTTATATTCTATTTGTTTAATTATTTTCTTCTTCAGTTTAACAAAACTGGAAAACATATTTTGTCGCGCTCTCAAATGTTGGAGGGTATGATGTGGCTCAATTTATTCCAGACAGTTCTAATAGTGAAAAAGAAACATTTTGCATTGATATAAAGTAGCACATTTATGAAAGTAGTAGGGCATTAATATTTAGAAACCGCTGATATTTTTTAATATAAGCTAAATATTACAGTCACCTAATTTATGTTCAAAATATATTTATTTCCTACATACAAAAAGTACATACAACTCACTCATATCCTAAATGACTACTACATAAGAAAAGTACATACTACATACTTATTTCTTAAAGGTCAACTAATTAGAAAAGTACATACCACACACCTACTTCCTAAACGATTACTACATAAGAAAAGTACATACAACATACTTATTTCTTAAAGGACTACTACTAAGGAAGATCATCTTACAACAATATCTTGTTTCCCCAAGATAATTTTTATAAACAAAATAATTAAGTTTTCAGTGTTTATGTCTTGGAAGAAAAAAAAGGGTCTATAGCCCTTTGAATGTTTACATAATTGCCAAATTTTCTTATTTGAAAGGAATATTTTTATAATATTCAAAGTTGTAGCAAAGTTTATGTTTTACCATTTAATTATATGAAGTGAGTTTGAAATGGTTTTGACCACCACGGGGGAGGGGGGGACTCGAACCAAAAAATATGCATATGGAAAGAAGACTAGCTTCCATAGACATTATGTATACAAACCTCCAACCAAAGGGTAGTCCCTGCGTATGAAGGAAAAAACAACATTTAGGGGAACTGCAGCAGAAGCTCCTTTCCTCCCAGCCACTGCTGGTTTTTTAGAAGGGTTAAAGAAAAGAAAATCAGTTTTCTCGTTTCATTTATTGTTGGTTTGTTGTGTTTTTTTATAATATTGATAAACAGTTCAGTACTATTAATTAATATTTTTCTTTGAGAATACATTTCTATCATCCATGTTAATTAAGGAGTGCATTTTGACAATGAAAGATTAAAATGGGAGACAAAGTACCCAACCATACTTGTAGAGTTGTCCGACAACCGTTTCAAAAGTGACGTACCTCCTCTCACTTTACTTCGTATGCGAATGCGCTGTATCTTAGTACGTAGGATATTCTGAGAATGTTGCTCACCCTCTTCTTTCTCTGTTGTAGCATACCCCCCCCCAAAGAATATTTTTGACCCCCCGTCAGTTCCCCGCTTTAGTTACGTATTCGAAAAGCTGCTCTTTGCTAGAACTTCCCATTTGATAAAAATGAATTAATGACTAGATTTTCGCTTACTCGGTAACAATATGCTTGATTTTAGTAATGGACGGTAGATATTGTAAGTAATTAGAGCTAAATTTCAGCAAACTAAATCAGCGACAAAAAAATGAATGTTTACTCGTACATAATCTGAGGTGTAAAGGTTTTTGGATGGGTTTGCATTACCAAAAAAAAAAACACCTCAGACATCTTTCCTTATTGACCTTGAATTTGAGAATAAATTCTTGATTAGCATTTTCTTGATTTCATTCAGTATATAAGTATATATTTCAGAAAACTACTTAGTTAGCTTATAGAAAAATTAGAGCACGATAACTTTTGAAACTTCTCACGATAATTTTTTTGCAAAAAAAGTTCAGAGTTACGCTGTTAGTGACATGAAGAAATAGTTTAATACTGAGCTGTGTCTGTTTTCGTACCTTTATATATTTATTTTGCTTTAGTTATGGTTATTTTTGTTAATAAAGCTAAAACATTCTTTTGACATAAATTAATCTGACGATAAAATATTTTCCAGACATCTAAAAACAGACAATACAACATTATTTTTCTGAAACTTCTTATTTTTACAATCATCTATTTTTGAATTTTCAAGCAAAAAAATTATTTTAAATTTTGGAATTCCACCTGGTTAATTTTGATATTCAGATGTGGTAACAATTTGGAAATCTCCAAGTTTCGAATGCTTCTGTCGAATAGAGTAAAATTAAAGCAACATTTTAGTAGCGATAATTAATTAAAGATGATAAAAGAAAACCTAGGATTTCCCTATGACGTCTACAACTTTCTAGCTGTTGATTTCCTGCAACAAATTAAACTTTTTGCCCGACTTTATGATGGAACTACCCCACATTTGCGTTACATGGAGAGGAAAACCACTAATATCTTCCACGGTTAGCAAGGGGACTCTACCAATGATCCGTCTACCACTGAGGATAATTTACGTCAGCACCGTGGTCGGTGCTAGTCGGGTGCAGAATTTGTTTCGACCAGCCATCGTTGTGATTCGAACCCGGGACTCCTCAATGGAGGCGAGGTACCCTATCTTCTAAGCCACCACAGCTCTATTTACAGGTATTTTTGTTTTATTTTATAACCTTCGTTGAACAATCAACTCAAGTTTGGGTTTACGACTACTAATTTTCAACTCCGTAGAATTGTAATTTTGATTCCAATCCAGAAGACAAGGGAACTCCTGGATCAAATATTAGAAGAAATTTGCCGCCGTAGAGGAATTTTCGATGGAACTAACCCGCATTTGCGTTACATAGAGAGGAAAACCTCCAATGGTTAGCCTGACGGCAAGAGGACTCTAACCCATGATCAGTCTACCTCTGGGGATATTTTACATCAGCATCGTGATCGATGCGAGTCGGGTGCAGAGTTAATTTCGATCAGCCATCGTTGTGATTCGAACCAGGGTCACTTCATTGAGAGGCGAGTGCCCTATCTCCTGAGCCCCCACGATTCGATTTGCAGACATTGGACAAAATTATAGGAACACTTTCATATTGACTCTACAATCTTTCTTTTTTCAGCAAATGCTTTGGAAGATTTTGAAAGGTGAAAATGTTGGCACAATCTCAAATCATCATTTCTAAATACTTAAAGCATTTTGAAATGATGTCAGTTTTACCCATGGAGAATTCGAATCTACCAAAATGAGGAAAGGAAGCAATAAATTTTTTTGAGCTTAAATACCAGCAATTTTAAAACAATTCTTAGGATGGCAATATTATATTAGAAAGCTATTTTTTTAATTATGGTGGTATTGTAAAACGAAAGAAGCTTAAGAACTCCCTGTTCTTTTACACGCTACAATTTTGAGCTTAAATACCAGCAATTTTAGAACAATTATTTGGATGGCAATATTATATTAGAAAGCTATTTTTTTAATTATGGTGGTATTGTAAAACAAAAGAAGCTTAAGAACTCCCTGTTCTTTTACACGCTACAATATTGAGCTTAAATACCAGCAATTTTAAAACAATTCTTTGAATGGCAATATTATATTAGAAAGCTATTTTTTTAATTATGGTGGGATTGTAAAAAGAAACAAAACTTAAGAACTTCCTGTTCTTTTACACGCTACAATTTTTGCGTGGGTAAAAAAAAAAAGCAATTTCTCAAAGCTTCAAGCATGATCTTTCCAAGAATGACAAAATTTTTGCTATATAATATCTTTTAAAATAAAAAAATGATTGTTTACGTATAGTTGATCAAGACGTGCTTCCATAATTTTGTCCAACCCCTGTTAGTATAAAGTTAAAAATGTTTTGTAGATATGGTTGCTATTTTTAATAACGTAACTTATTTATTTTATGCAGAAAATGATTTCGAAATTAAATGAAAGCCTTGTGCTAATCATAAATGAAATTTATTTTAAAACAATAATAATTTCCAATAAAAACTATTGTTTTCTGGGAATTTTTTTTAAAATTCGTTTTAAACCTAATTTTTTTCATTGTTTCTGAGTTGTAGTCCTAAATTATTGTTTTTCGGAAAATTATCCACATTTTTTTAAAAACTTCGTTTATTTAATTGTTGTTCTGAGTTGCTGTCCTAAACTATTGTTTCTCGGGAACTTTTCCTTAAAATTTTTAAACCTCATTTACTTAATTGTTATTCTAAAGTCTTGTCAATAAAATGCTTCGATAATAATTATCGAAAGTAAAATCAAAGGAAGCAAATTAATTAAATAAATTATAAGTCATTAAGACTTAAAAAAGAGTGAGAGAAAATAAAATTTTGAGCATATTTCCTCACTTATTTTTAACGTATTTCTTTCTCGAAAGCAAATAAAATGGTTTGTCAAATCAATCAAAATAAAAAGCAAAAATAGAGATAATAATACTTAACCCATCAAATAAAAAATTGCTAAAAATTGCCACTTTTAAAAATTGCTGTTTAGATCCGAAGGTATTTATTAGAAATTTTTGTCTAACGATAGATATTGTTACTTATTAGTAATTTAGCATTTATTAGAAATTTTTATCGTACGAAAGATATAAACCTCATAATATTATAAAATATATTTTTTTACAATAATAAAACTATATCTCTGTGATAGACTTTCACTACCGAAATATCAACAGTGACTTTTCAAAAGTAATTTTAAAAGTTACGTAAATAAAAAAGAGAAAAAAAATTACAGTATAAATATTTACACAAAAAAAAATAAACGCAATTTATTAAAAGAGTTTAGAACGAAATAAAAATAACAACATTTCAAATTACGCATTCAAATTTTAAACACTTTAGATCTAGAAAAATTTACATATTTTTTGTAATACAATATCCGACATTAATACTGAAAATCTTATTTATTTCTTGAAAAAAGAAAACAAATTGAATTTATCTAAGATCTTATCAATAAAATCATTCTTATTTTTCATCTCCAAGCAATATCGAAACCCAATATCACATTATGAAATAATTTAAGTACACGATATATTATCCTACTTCCCATGAACGTTAATAGGTGGCAGCATATAGCCGCTGCATGACATTGTCGCATTGGATTAAAGGCGGTGATAATCTGTGATATTCTATTTTTTTCAATTAACAATGGCGAATTTTAAACCTGTTACCCATGTGCTCTTTGATATGGATGGGTTAATATTCGGTAAGTGTTTACAAAAATCACTTTTTAATTCATTCTCTTGTAAGGAAGCTGTCTCGCGCCGGTGAACAATAAAAAAAATGTATGTGCTCGTGGTGAAATTTTAAAATTTCTTATCATTAATTTCCTTTTTTCCTAATATCCAAGTTATTTTGTAGAAAAAAATATGCAGACACATTATTATGTTGTAGTTTTATACGATGAAATTTGTTTTTGAATTATATGAATGTATATTTTCCATTTTACGGGATGATTGATCACTTTAAAAAATATTTGTTTTGAATTATAGTTCTGTTGGTTTCCAACAGATGGCGGTATTGTTCACCCCGCAAATTGTGACCACAAATGTTTGAAAGAAAATTTTTTATTTATTTCAATAAATATTCGATTTCAGAATAAAACTTGAAAAATTTAAGTAGCTGCTTCATTCTTAAATAATGATTTCTTATTTTAATCTTGTAAGAAGTGTTTAAATGTAACACGGTTTTAAAAGCATTATTTTTAAGAATTCATTTTTAAAAATTAGGCTTTTTTTTTTCTTTTTTTTTTTTTTTTTTTTTTTTTTTTTTTTTTTTTTTTTTTTTTTTTNAATATTTACGAAGATAGTTATAAAATTTTCGAAAAATAAACTATCAAACTAAAACGTAAGTTCTGAATTATTTTATTTGGAAGAGTTAAATTTTCTAAAAATTCTATCAATTATTAATTTGATTAAACTATTGAGTTGCCACTATTTAACTATTTATCTATTGGATTACTCTTGCATTTAAAAAAATAATAGAAACTTTTGTTGCTCAAATTAATAAACTATTTATTGTTTTATTAAGTTTTGGTACTAGTACTGAAATAAGTATGCTGATTTTAAAGAGAAACACCATAAAAATGGGGTTTTTTTTTTAAAAAAAAAAATGTTTTTATTGGTGAAACTCTTAATTGTATAATGAAGCAACATGCATTTTTATTCATTTACTTATTTTTCATTATTCTGCATTTTTTTTTTTTTTTTTTTAAATGTTAAAAACAAAATTTTACGAAGTTAAAATTCTGCTTGATCCGGGGTCAATTACGTAATATCTCTTCGATTATAAGAACAATATTGTTCTTTTAATTGAAAGGTCTAGCTCATTAACAGATTAAAAGTCATACAAGATTTGTGTACAGAAATACAGTTAATTTTATACACAAATCACACGAAAAATTTTTTTAATATTTTACACAAACTTTCTTAAAACTTTTATATTTTTTAAACTATTAGTGAACTGAAATTTTCCTACCAATAGCTTAAAATATACATTCGAATCAATATCTCACTTGCCTGGATCGCAATATTCGACGCATAAATATGCATGACTGCTATGTTTCTGTAAAAACTTAAATAGCTTGTTAACTATTGGTTTGATCAACTCAGGTGTGATTTTTTTTTTTCCGATTCAGCTTAAAAATATAATCGGAAACATTAGGTATATCACTTGCCTAGACGGCAACGAATATGTTTTGCCCGATTTTTCCTCTCCGTTAACCCTAATTAGAAGCTAACGCTTTACTCGCAAAAGCTTTTTTACTTCAAACGCTCATGTTAGGCCTAGATGACAGTCTTAAAAGAATTTACAGTTTTCCCATAACTATTTCTGCATTTAATTACTCTGGTACGAGTCGCATATTTTAAGGACATATTATCTTCTTTAGACTCAAGGTATCCATAAGGATACCTCACCAAATGCATCCTGGAAAAATTAAAGAGTGGCGGCAAATTTTTCTTAAGATTGATTAAAATTTCATTAGGTTAACTTCCAATTTAGTTTTATAAAATCAGTTTTGCAGTTTTCGCACCACAATAAACGAAGTGATAATATTTTCAGCAGATATAAATACTTCAAAGTATGAATATTTTCAGAATTTAGCTACCACATCAAAACACTTTCTAGGATGTGCTTAGTAAAAATATATGATATCTGAAGAGGTTAAATAAAAGTTGAATCAGTACCATAGATTTGTGAATTGATTTCGTTTCTGCTTTACTTATAATCAACCAGCAAACCTTACAGTTGTCTGATTTTAGTGAATGTAATTAATGTCCTTAAAAGTTGTACGAAATTTCAGTTTCTTGCTACTTTATGGTCAAATTTAAGGTCTCGCAAAATGTACACCACACATATGTTAAATTTTTTTAGTTTTACTCATTAGTATAACTTCATAGAAATATTGATTTACAATTTGTTTTTCTGTTAGCATCAGATGATTTTGCTAGTTTTCTCAGAAAAGAAAAGAAAAATACATGTCTCATAGCTTTACGCATTCACACAAAGAACATATCATGAAAACTTCAACAAAATCAAAAACGTCAAGTATCCAACCTTTTCTAATTTTCTCGATGTTTGAAGAAAACTGACTCTAAATTATGTTGAATTTGGTCTTTATATAAAATATTTCGGCAAATCAGTATTAAATCTCAGCTCAAAGGCAGAGGCTGTTACAGAATTTCAGGAGTGCTCATTTTACTACTGCTATAAAAAAATAATAATAAATATTTTGCAATAAAAAAAATTAGATGTGATATTTAAGCATTTTAGTTCTTCCTAATTTTAGCGCCGTCCGAATTTAGTAAAAATAAGAAGTAAATTGTGACAAAATTAATAATCACTTATACATCGTATGCATATCCTTTTAATTAGCAAAACAAAGTATCCTATCAAGTGTTATGTTATTGTAATTAACTCACAATTATTATCACAGAGAATATCAAAAAATATATTGAAAACCACTGAGGAAAAAATCTATCTCATTTAGCTGAAATTGCTGATCAGAGAAGTAGGCATCAGAAGAACTGCATATTGTTGAGCTCTAGAAATAGGGATCAGAAAAACTGCATATTGTTAGGCTTTAGAAGTAGGCATCAGAAAACTGCATATTCTTAGGCTTATGAAATAGGCGTCAGAAAAACTGTATATTGTTAGGCTCTAGAGATAGGCATCTACAAAACGACATATTCTTAGGCTCTAGAAATAGACATCAGAAGAACTACATATTCTTAGGCTCTAGAAATAGGCATCAGAAAAACTGCATATTCTTAGGCTCAAGAGATAAGCGTAAAAAAAACTGCATATAGTTCGGCTCTAAAAACAGGCATCTGAAAAATTACATACTCTTAGGATCGAGAAAGAGGAATCAAAAAAATTGCATATTGTTAGGCTCTAGAAACAGGCATCAGAGAAACAATGTGCAATTTTTCTGTTGCATCTTAAATTTAAGGACTAAGTGAAGTCAAGCACATCCAACAGCATCAAAGCTGTTGGCTAAGCGAGTTAAGGAGGTTAAAGTGCCTCAGTTTCAAGACCAAATACATATGAAAGGCAATGTCGTTAATTTTGCGCTCCGGACGCCTTTATTTCTAAAGCAGCTAGTACCCATCGATGTGAAACTGAGCAAGCATCAAGCCGTCAATAGGGCTAAGCCTACAGTCGTACATAGTGACGACCAAGGTTAAGTGCTTCCACCTCCGTGCCGTCGCCTAAGTTGTATACTTTTTCATTTACAAAAGATTTTGTAAAAAATTTTAATTTTATTGTTTTGCTTTAGATACTGAAGATATTTACACAAGAATACATCAAGTTATTGCCAGTAAGTTCGGGAAAGAGTTCACATGGGAAGTGAAAATAAAGTGTATGGGTAAAACCGCAAACGATGCTGCTGCGACTTTCATACAGGAACTTCAAATACCTATGTCTGTCCAAGAATTCGAAGTTGTTTTTCGTTCTTTGTGCGAAGAAGAGTTCTTGAAAACTAAGGTCTTGCCAGGTATGTATTACTCAGTTGAAATGTTTTGATATGTGAAAAGTCATTTGTAGTACGGTAATTACATTAAAATATTATGTGAGAATTATTTCCCCTGTGAGTTCACGTATAAGTTTTTGGTATAAAAAGAGGTGTCTGAGTACAGTAAATTTAGAAATTAATGTTGTTTACTTTCCAGATTTTAAATATTTATTTAATTGTCACTCATTCATGTGCAGGCTTGTATGCTCAGTAAAAAGTAAGGCTTATAAGCTTTTGTTAAGTTGAATAATAGATAGCATAAATTAAAAAAGGATATTACACAGATGCAACCAAGGTCACGGCGGGACTCGAACCCGCTGCTTCCACCCTGAATACAGAAAGAAGACCAGCTCCTCCCGTTTCAAGAACCACTGCGGTTGTGCCCCTAAATGTTGTTTTTTCCTTCATACACAGAGACCTCACCAAACCTTTGGGGACTGGCTTACATGTCAATGAAAGCTAGACTTCTTCTCCTATGTATATTCTTTGGTTCTAGAGTATTTGGTAGAATGGCAAGACTGTTTTGCCAAAGAGGATCCGACATCTGTTCGGAAAACGAGTATAACTTTCCTCAACTAACATATAAAATACAAAAAGTAAGGATTCGCACGATCCTTAAAAAATTTAAAAAGTGGTTTTAATATTCTAACAAAAAAGTTACAAACTTCTTTTTATTAGCTTATTATTAAAGAATTCTGTACTAAAGAATTCACTATTGAATGTATTAATTAGGAAATAGTTAGCTTAGTAGTGAACACAAACTTAATCTTAAAAAAATGTTTTATGAATTTTTAATTAAGTTTGTATATATTTTCATTCTTTTGCTAACCTTCAAGCACCGTAAGAGTATTGTATAATAAACTTTTAAAAAGAAATTAAAAGTTTATTGATATACAATTCAAAAAGAATTTTAGAAATATATTCAAAAGAATAATAATGAATCAGAATTTTTTCAAATTCGCTGCTGTAATTTTAGTCTGTAATTAAAAAGAAAAAGAAAAAAAAGCGATAAAACTCTTCAGTTTAAGATGCGACACTTTAAGGCCATAGGTCTTTCTTTTTTTTGTCTTAAGCGTTATTTTCAAAGAAACAATGGCGCAAGGAGTGTATAAGTAAATATATAAACCTATATATTCCTTGTAAACCCGTTATTCAGACAAAAAATAAGCTAAACTAAAAATATTAATTTGAGAAAAATTCTCTAGTTTTTCAAACAAAAATAATTTCAGACTTGAAATCCCACAACAGCGTTAGGTAGAATGAAATACTTATATAAATGGAACAAAATTTTTGCTGCTCAATGTAATAAACAATTTTATTTCTATCTCAAAAAATTTCTCCATTCAATTAGCCACTATCAATAAATCTACTTCAAGTTTTTGAGCTCGTTGTCACTTGCCGCTTCTCGATCCCGCAATAACAACATTTTACGCCTGCTGAACTAAACTACTACTGAACTCTGTCCATAGCGACAGCCCATAGAGGGCCAAGGCCTAATGTGCCCATTTCAGTTTTCTTGACCTTTGGGCTCTAGGATGCACGAGCAGATGTTCCGGTTGGATAGTCAGCCCAACGTGGAACCCTCAGTGTTTAGTTCCCAAGCATGCTTGGTACTCATTTTATCGACCCACTGAAGGGATGAAAGGCTGAATCAACCTTGCCCGTCCCGAGGATCGAACCAAGGACCTGTGGCATGACAGCACGAAGCACTGTCACTCAGCCACCAGGCGTCACATTTCACGCCTAAATATGTATTTTATATGACTTATGTAATCGTTAGAAAAGTTCGTTATCAGAAATTTCAGTAAGTTTCCTATAATCTCAGAATATTCATATCTTTGTTTCCTTTCACGACATATTTAAACCTTGTGTCATTTTTTTTAGGGATCGAAAGATTAATCACGCATTTACATGCAAAGAACATACCAATAGCCATAGCAACAAGTTCAAAATTAGAAACATATAACATAAAGACTAGAAACCACCAAGAACTAATAAAAAAATTCCACCACGTAGTCTCAGGATCAAGTGACCCAGAAGTTCAGAAAGGAAAACCTGCTCCTGATGTATTCTTAGTGTGTGCAAGCCGTTTTCCAGATAAACCTTCTCCGGACAAGGTATGTTCTATTACTATTTTCAAGAAGAAAAAAATCTTTTTAAAAAAATTAACGTAGTATAAAGGTTTCTAAAATAAAATGGGAACCTGAGTGTTAGAGTCAAAATGAGAGTAAAGATAACAGCACCCAACCATTAAAGGTTTTAAAAGGAGGTCAGAAAAGTGCACCGCACACTGCACATAAATAATTAACCAGTTCTTATGAGAGTAGTAACGACATGTAGTTCTTCAAAATGTAACTCTCTAAGCAAACGTTTCATAAAAGCAATGATTTCATGGTGTTAGTTTAGCCTTATCTGATATTGATAAAGCCCTTCACGAACTATCCTACACCATTTGTTCACAGTCGTATATCCTAAACAGTGTTCACCAAAAAAACATTTAATGACAAATTACCTTCTGTCACTAAAAATAATACAAACTGATCGTGTTTCTGTATTAGACGCATCTATTTTGACATGACTTTATATTCTCTTTTTATACTCTCATACGAATTAATTAATCAATTACATCCAATTTGCTGTGCATTCTTCTTACCTGAATCATATAATCCTGAAAGTTGGTGCTTCTATCACTACTGTATTTCTGGCGCATCCACTGTTCCTTTAAACTACCTTTATATATTCCATTTTTTGAAAATTGAACAAACCTATTTTAAACCAGTGTCATTTCTTCAATTTCATTAAAATAAAATTTATTGAGCAATCCACTTGACTCCACGATTTTCTCTTGCCTAAAATGCATCATTGATCTACTTTTAATTTCAATTAACTTTTATTTTATTTAATTCAGAATACCATTGGCGGACACTCTTTTTGCCTTTTATTTCAATGACACTGTATTGTGACAGCGATATAATACAGCGATTTTAAACGTGTAGGGGATGAAACACACATAATTTGAACTAAGAATTATAAATTAACCCATGATCGGAATTGTCATTTCACGCAGCTAAATGACGCCTTGTTGATATAAAGGGACTTTTTTTGCACCTTTAAAACTATACTTTCATGAATGTAAATTATTTTAATTCCATGTTGGTTTTTCCTTTAATTGTTGTCGAAAATTGGTGTACAAAACTGCACTGTAAATGAAGTTTGGATTAATCATTAAGCACCCTTATTAGTATAATTTTCCAGTTAACAAAAATTTTAATAGTAATTTTAAAAAATTCTTCTTTCTGATTTTGCACCATAATTTAAGATATTTTTTTTAAATATTTCTTTTATAGGTTCTCGTGTTTGAAGATGCTCCAAATGGCGTGCTAGCTGCGGTTGCGGCTGGCATGCAAGTGGTAATGGTTCCCGATCCCCGAGTAGAACCAGAATTTACAAAAGACGCTACACAAGTTCTCAAAACGATGGAAGATTTCAGACCGGAACTGTTTGGTCTACCACCTTTTGATGATGTTCAATCTTAGTAGTTAGTTTATCAAATTAAATTGTTGGTCTATATCACAATATAAATCTTGTTATCGACTGGTTATATCTTCTTGATACTAATAAAAAAAGTTGTTCTTCACTCTTGTTTATCTTCCAAGTCTTTCATCAAGAAATATTAATAAATAGTTTACGTTACAAAAATTAAGTTTAAAACTATTTTGACTTTTCTCATGAGAATAATCATGGTTAGGTCGGGTCTGGTCTAACTGGGCTCCTGAGGCCAATAATGGCCCTTTTCCCATTCATCCTGTAAAACAATAGACAAATTACATAAAATGCAACAAATAATGGCTCATGTTACGGTAGGGAAAAAAGAATGGCACTTTGCCGTGGTTAAAAGTAACAAATAATTTCATGTCTAGAAAAGTTCAAAGCATATTTACAAGTAGGGAAACGAAATTACTCGAAGGAAAAATATTTACAAAAATTGGGAAGAATTAACTAATATTCATAATGAATAACGTTAAGATCATAAAAAACTTCATTAACAAAAAAGTGTACCTCTGTTAACGTAGAGACCCGACCGTCCTGGTTGTTACCACTCGTGTCCGATTGCTCTCTACACTAAAAATTACTCAGATTAGTCTCGTCTTGATCAGACCTACATGGCCAATAATTATGGTTATTCGTTCGTTCGTTGTAGTGGAACTGGGCGTCTGAGGCCTTGCGGCCCTTTTCCCATTCATCCTGAAATTAAACTAAGAAACATGCATGACAAAATTAAAGTTTGGGGAGTAAAATGGAGTTCTTGAGAGAAGAAAAATGGCACTTTGTCATTATTGGGCAATAACAAAATTACAAGTAATAAAAAGTACATGAAAAAAGGTAAAATTAATTTACAATGGGAAAATAAACACTAATGAATATTTACAGTTTGGAAATACATTCAAAAGGGGGGCGAGTTAGAGGAATGTGAGGATGTATGTATATGTGTAAGTGCCGGGTAGCTCTCTACACTGAGGGGTGAAAGCGAGACGGAAAAGAGGAAAGGCTGGTAGTAAAACCATTTCAGTTATAGCTAGTTTTGGGGAGGAGTTTACTTAATCTTTTTTTAAATTTTTCAACAATATCTACTTTATCTTGGAAAAGAAGCAGTTTTATATATATGCCAGAATTATAAAAGAAATCTTGATAGTTACAGTTTTTTCGAAAAAAATGCTGGAATGAAATGTTTTACGTACCAGGGCTTTCACCCATGTCTACACTTCGGTTACAATGAATGATCCTCGTATCTATAAGACTAAAAAATAAGCGCTTAAATAAATTTTGAAATCTTGGTCAAACCTCGATACAACAAACTCAAAGGAAGGCACTAAAAATTTCGAAACATCGAATAACTGAAAGTCGAGTATCTCAATCGAATGTTTTAAAAATTTAGCCGAATCATTTATTGTGTTGATATTTTAAATGTTGTCCAACATGTATTTACTTCAAAAAACAGTTACTTCAATTAATGTCAATCTTTTACTCTGTCTTTGATTTTACGTTTTTCTAAAAAAAAATTCTACTTTCTCTTCTAATATATCTCCAGANCACGTTCACGCCGGGTGTTGCGCCTGAAAGCGGGACGGAAAAGAGAAAATACTGGTAGAATAACTATTTCAATATTAGGTAATATTCGGGAGGAGTTAATCTATTCTCAACAATAACAATTCACTGTAAGGAAATTTATCACGGCAAAGAAGCAATTCAATATAAGAATTGCATCCGTTAAAAACAATTGGTAGTTATGGATTTTTATTATTTCCGGAAAAAAACCAAAAAAAATACTTTTTTGTTACCAGTTTGTACACCGGTGCGCAGCCCGATGAGACAATCTAGCGTGACCTACCGGTGTGTCACCCCGGCGTAAACGTGTCAAACTACGGATTTTCTCTTTTTTTTCAAGTTTTATATTCATTATTATTACGACAATCAACATTCAATTCTTTCATTCATTAATCACTTTTCGACTCGACAATACCACTGTTTTTTCGATAAACTTTTCCCCAGTTATAACTGATGATATCCACGTGGTTTCCTTATATCAGTGTTTCCCAAAGTGTGGTACGCGTACCCCCAGGGGTACGGGAGCAGTTTTGCGGGGGTACACATTCTTATGTGAAATATCTTGCAACAAACGAAAATTTCTAAATTTTTTTATTTAAAAACAAAGCTAGCCATGAAAATTTACGATTACGTATTTTTCTATTGGCTATTTTTTGCAGAGTTAACAGTTAATAATTAGTGGAGTCAACAGCCTGTTGTGATTTTTAACTTTTTTACAATTTTTTTATAGTAAAAAATACATTCATTTTTTTTTTTAGTGCTACACTGTGTTACAAACAATTTAGAAAGGGTACACAAAAGTCATAAGTTTGGGAAACACTGCCTTAAATCAACACGTAACGTTTCCTTAATAACAACACGTAAATCTCGAGGCGTACACTTAATAGTATACCTGCAAGTGACGTAGCGTCGGTACCTCGATCCTATTTCACAATTCTATTTCGAGTCAGCCAAGCCCGTCAAGTATAAATTCTCTTAAGCGACGCATTCTATATTCTTACACAAAGATTTCAATTCTTTCACTACATATTTACACAGAGACTTAACACATTAAAATCAATCAAAATTATTCCAAAAGGGATTTATAGTTAAAGCCAATATAAAATGTCGGAGCGAGACACCAAAGCATGGCTATCACAAAAGAGGTCACCAATGGCCAAAAGTTTTCCATGGAAGGGAAAGGCCCTTGACTGATTTAATAACAAAAATAAATGAATTTCATAAGTTTTAGTTTAAATTTATGGTAGTTTAATTGCACTTAGTCCGTAAGAAACTAAATGTTTTTTTCGTTTTTTAAAATTGTCGAATATATCTCGTGTTTGAAGNTATCCACAATAAATATATATAATTTAATACAGTAAGCTGATGTCTCCAATAAGAAAAAACTAATAAAATCACACTTATGCATGCCCATAACAATAAAAAAAGGTACTCACCACATACAGAAGGAAAAAAGGCGATAAACAATAGCTATAAAGGTAGAGCTAAAAATCACACAAAACTTTCTGTTCAACTAAACATTTATTTTTGTAAAACTGCTTATTTTGATTATTGCGTAACAAACAAACAATATGATTCCAACACATTTTGTCTCACAAAAAATATCTTTTAAAAAGAAATGGGTGACAAGAGAATTTGAAGAAACCAAAGGCGTCATGCAAAAAGTTAAATAGAAAGGAACGAGTAATCTAGCCATTAAAATAAATAAGAGAAGAAAACTTAAATTTGAGAGGGCTTTTAATGTTAAAGAAAATTAAAGGTATAAAATGTTGATTTTAAATTTTACAGAAATTGATTACAGCTATGGATTTAATTTAAGATAAAGGTTAAAAAAAAAAGAGAATCCCTCGATACGGACCGAAGTCCGCATCTCGGAAAAAAAGAAACCAGCCAGAAGGCTCGAGAGAAAAAGAATCCCTTCAAAAAAAAAATGACTTAAAAATTCCTTAACTGGGGTAGACCAGAAAAATTACGGCCAATTAAAATTAAAGAGGCGGAGAGTTTGAAATTTAAAAGAAAGAGATTGGCTAGTTAGCCCCCCTAAAATTAAAGGAAGAAAAAGAAAGGCGTGAGTAGAGGGGTTGGTTGACTTTCCCCACAGGAAGTGCGATGACCGCAACGACCATGAGAAAGGTCACCAAGAAAGTTAAAAAGATTGCTAAAAAGAAAAAAAGGAATAACGTTTAAAGAAAAATTGAAGGCTTAAATAAAATTAGAAATAAAATTGTCACATTACATTAAGTGTATATGTGACATAAGTCAAACCCGTCAAGTATGAATTCTCTTAAGCGACACATTCTATATTCTTATACAAAGATTCTTTCACAAAGATTTCAATTCTTTCACTACATATTTACGCAGAGACTTGACACAAAGACAGGCAGGTATCATGTAGAACATAAACAAATTATGCATCGAAGTTGCCAGGTACACAAAACAAAAATATATCACTGTTACAATAAACTACATCAACAAATAATAAATCTAAGTTAAGTTAAGAACGTAGTCGAGAAAGAATTATATTTTATCAAATGAGGTGTGCGGTACGGTGCTGTATTTAATTAACTTCACGTTAATTAACATTCTAACTTATAGGGAAAGAATAAGCTTAACTTTATCACGCTATTTCGCTTATACGAGACTTAACACAAAGACCTGGCGCTAACGTCATAGGTCACTTGTGTGGGTATCCCTGATCTTCTTCTTGAAGTTCAAGAAACCCAATTTACCCCGTTTTGACGTGGCCAACTTTGTCGTAAATTCCCTTGGTTTATTCATCAATCTCTTTTAAGTTATTTCCCTAAATCTCACAGTTTTTAAAGTCATTTTTTATGCTATGACGACTTGCAAAGTGCAAAATAGGAAGAATATGTAATTTATGTATATATTTATATAGATACAATAGTACAAATTTTCTTAACACGTTCACGCCGGGGTGACCCACCGGTGGGTGACGCTAGATTTTCTCATCTTGGCTGCGCACCGGAGTAAAAACTGATAACAAATAAATTTCATTTTTTAGTTTTTTTCCGGGAATAATGAATATCCATAACTACCAATTGTTTTTAACGGATGCAATTTTTATATTGAATTGCTTCTTCGCCGTGATAAATTTCCTTACAGTGAATTGTTATTGTTGAGAATAGATTAACTCCTCCCGAATATTATCTAATATTGAAATAGTTCTTCTACCAGTATTTTCACTTTTCCCGGCGTGAACATGTTAAGAAATGCATGATTCAGGCGATTTTTTTGCAATCAGATCACATCCTCGAACTTTTCAGATTGACTCCTAGAACGGGAAGTAATATAAATATCCGAGCATTAGATCAAAAGTTTTTCAGGATAGTCCATTTTTAATTCTGCACATTATACAATCGCTTCTTTTGTAAGCACACATTTAACACGTTCACTCCGGGAAAAGTGAAAATACTGGTACGGAAAAGAGAAAATACTGGTAGAAGAACTATTTCAATATTAGATAATATTCGGGAGGAGTTAATCTATTCTCAACAATAACAATTCACTGTATGGAAATTTAACACGGCGAAGAAGCAATTCAATATAAAAATTGCATCCGTTAAAAATAATTGGTAGTTATGGATTTTTATTATTCCCGGAAAAAAACTAAAAAATGAAATTTATTGTTACCAGTTTTTACTCCGGTGCGCAGCCAAGATGAGACAATCTAGCGTGACCCACCGGTGGGTCATCCCGACGTGAACGTGTTAAAGAGATAAAATTTTAAAATCTAACGTAATTTTGTAAATTTACGTAAGATTCCGTACGCTTCCATACTAAGATTTGAAGCAGCTGCTCATGCTCACGTTTTTATTTTTTATTCAATTTTTTTTAATTTTATAGATTATACATATCTTCACTTTTTGAGATTTTCGTAAAACACAAGCACGCTGCTCATAGCTGTTGAATGTTGTTTTCTGTTTAAGTCTACCTTCGAATTAAGAACATGTACAGGGCGCAAAAGAAAAACAAGAAACGGACTACCCTGAATAAATTTTGATCTAATGATCGGATCTTCACGTTTTAGGACTCAATCTTAGTGGCTCGGGGGGGGGGTGACCATTTAAGTTACAACAGAGATAAAAACGTACTTTCTCTGAATAAACATACCTTTTTTTTCTCGACTGATTCGGATTTCTGACCCCCAAAATATAGGGAGTAGCCGCTGTCTGGGAAATATGGTCCAATAGTTTAGTCAGGGGAACACTCCAAAGTTTGAACCCCTTAATGTTAATATTACTTTTTGCGTATTTCACCATATATCAAGAATACATCAGCGAATTGAAAACTTTTTACCCACAATTATAAAATTCATTTATCAAAAGATAATGAATTTTATAATTTATTCAAAGATATTATAATTCATTTATTCAAAAATAATGAATTATCTATGCAAAAAATGACTTTTAATAAATATTTATTATTTTATTTTATATTAGTCGAAAAGAATTTCAATTGTAAGGTACACAATTTTTTACATCATTTTAAAGAATATAATTTTACTTGGTAAAATATAGTTAAAAATGGTAAATATTTAAGAAAAATAATTTTTTTGCATGGAATTATCCTTGGAAAAATGAACTTCATAATTGTGTGTAAAAATTTTTCAATTCATTTAAGACGTTTTTGAGATATAGCGTAATACTCAAAAAGTAAAATTAACATCAAGGATTCCAAACTTTGGAAGGCTGTCCTGACCAAACTATTTGGACCATGTTTCCCAGATTGCTGCTACCCCTTATATTTTGGGGGATTCAAAATCCGAATCCGTTGAAAAATAGGTATGTTTAATCAGAGAAAGTATGTTTTTGTGTCTGATTTCGTATCTTTAAATATTGTCGGCGCTACTTAATTAGCATATTTGTGGTCAATCCCTCGAACCATTAAGAACGTAATGATCCGATATTTAGATTAAAAGTTATTCAGGATGGTTCGTTTTTATTTTGGTCACTATACAAGCTGCAAATAGTTGAAAAAGAACGATACAAAATTAAGATGGAGGATTTTTTATTACAAAATGTTAAAATAAATCGTTTGATTATACTGCAATTGGTTGATTTAATAAGATTAATAGTGACCGACCTACCCTCGGAGGAGTTTTCGGTTTGACACGTTGCCACTTGAGAACCAAACACTGCAAAATTACAGTAAAGCAGAATTAACTAATAAAGATTGATACACATTAGAAAATATCACAATATCTATGACGTGTAAATTTGAAACAATAAATCAAGTACTTTAAATTACGTAAGAAAGTAAAAAAATACGAAGTGGATAAATGCAAGCAAAATGTGCTCGTGCAAGAAACGATAGTTCAACATCCCCAATGAGATTTATAAAATTTAAAATCAATAATAATTATAAAAGGGATTTATAGCTAAAGCCAATATAAAATTTCGGAGCAAGACATCAAAGCTTATGGCTATCACAAAAGAGATCACCAATGACCAAAAGTTCTCTATGGAAGGGAAAGGCCCCTGATTGATTTAACAACAAAAATAAATAAATTTCATTGGTTTTAGTTTAAATTTATTGTAGTTTAATTGCACTTAGTCCGTAAGAAATTAAATGTTTTTTCGTTATTTAAAATTGTCGAATATATTTATTTTGTGTAGGAAGAGTTTTAACTTCCAAAGGGTTTAATATATTGTGTAGGAAGAGGTTTCACTTCCAAAGGGTTTAATATATTGTGTAGGAAGAGGTTTTACTTCCAAAGGGTTTAATATATTGTGTAGGAAGAGGTTTCACTTCCAAAGGGTTTAATATATTTTGTAGGAAGAGGTTTCACTTCCAAAGGGTTTAATATATTTTGTAGGAAGAGGTTTTACTTCCAAAGGGTTTAATATATTGTGTATGAAGAGGTTTCACTTCCAAAGGGTTTAATATATTTTGTAGGATGAGGTTTAACTTCCAAAGGGTTTAAAATATTGCGTAGGAAGAGGTTTAACTTCCAAAGGGTTTAATATATTGTGTAGGAAGAGGTTTAACTTCCAAAATATCAACGTGGAATGTTTATTTTGATTTTGTGGTCGATATTTCACTTTATAACGTGTTTAACTTTCTGATTTTTGCTAAATCTCCTATTTTCATTCACGTAAGTTAGATATTTTTTCACTCGTGCCAGCGTATTTCACTAATATCAACGTGCGCATGCGCTATTGCGCATGGGATTTAACGTAAAAGTGTGAAATCTCCCTAATGAGGTAACGCTTAGTTTGAAATACAAACTGCGCGCTAAAAATTTGAACAACTGAACCGCTGTTTTATTTTAAAAACTGAGCGAATACAAATTTACGGAATGAAAGTGATAATAGCTGTGGTAACGGTTTTTATCACACGGAAACTATGCTTTTTGATAAGAATTTTATCTGTAAATTCTTCATAAAAACATATCCCGCATTATTAAAATGATCTTAACATGCTTTTTATTCTTTGTTGTGATTAATAACGCGTTAGTAATATCATCTAGAATAAAAATTGAAAAAAATGGCTACGAAGATATTCTCATTGCACTACCGTCAGAAATTACTCCTGAAAAAAGAACCAATTTGGTCTCGACCTTGAAGGTACGTTTTTAAAAACTAGCAATTCTCTAACAGTAATTTTAAAAACAAACTAGTAGTTTGAAAAAAAGAACTTTTAATTGTAAAAACAAGCCATTCCAATAATGATAAAGTATTGTAAGTTCCATAATGTGTTAGAAAAGAAGAAAGTTCTTTATGTCTCAAAAAAAAAAAACTTCACGAAAAAAAAATCTCATTTTAAGTTGTTTTTTTATATATGTATGCTACAGCAGAAAGTATTTTTTTTTTTATCTGTCTGAGTATGAATGAGCCATGTTAATTTATAAATAACACTAATCCGTTTTCTTTTATAAAATTATGTAAAGCGGTAGGGAATTCAGCTCAAAAAATTATAACTACACAGCTACAGTAGTTTAAGTAAGATGAAAGAACGAAAAAACTGGTAGTTAAATTATTTCAATTTTAGCTATTTTATCGAGTTAAATATGCTTCAATGTGAGCATATTGTATGAGGCAACTACCTTGCGGCACTTGCCTCTTTATAAAGGTGAAATTACCTTCGGCAACGAGAGGGACATATCGGTGATAAAAAAAAGTAATATATGCTCTTTCCGGAAGGATGCCACTGGCGGACGGTACCAAATTATTTATATTTAAAGCAAAAAAAAAAATTTTTGCCTTCACTTTTAGTTATAAACTCTAAGCAATATGCTGGAGAAAGTTGCTATTACTCTCTTATAATAGTAATTTAACTCTATGGGAATACTAGAATTTCATTGAAAAAGTAGAAGATATTTTTTATTTTATATGGCAATTTAAGAATATTATGCGTGTAAATCACATGTGATCTTGTTATTATGATTTTTGAAGTGATGATTTTTCTTACTCTGCTGCACAGCAGCTTTCGTTGGCCTAGCATAGATACAAATCAAGGGGGAGTAACACTCGGTATTCCGGTCTTACCCCGAGAGCTGAAGTAGTTATCAAAACAAAACAGAACAATTCTACCATTGGACTAAATTCCTTATGTTTGTCATATGGAATCCCTTTTCTTATGTGTATCTTATGTTTTGTTTGTTCAATCCTTAGTGAACTTATAATAAGTATGACTAAAAATAATATTTTAACTATAATGACCAATAAATACGGAAAGCTTAAAAAAAAAAAAAAAAAAATTGAAACTTGATGAAGTTTGACAAACTTATCGATACAGACGCTTCAAATTAATCAAGAACTGCGCTAATATGGTAGGACCTTTCGGAGTTTGTCGGTTTGAAAACATAACTAATTTTTACACAATAGAGATACCCGGTGTCCCCAACTACTCGATCTCACCCCACTCTCCCCAATATATTGTAAACTAAACTATACTCAGTGGCGCGACGGCCCATAGAAGGCCAACTAGTTTTCTTGGCTTTGGGCTCTGGAGTGCCGGAGCAGATGTTCCGGTTAGGTGGTTATCCGAACGCTGAACCCCCAGTATTTAGTTCCCCAGCAAGCTTGGTACTGATTTTATTGACCCACTGAAAGGATGAAAGGCTGAGTCAACCTTACCCGGCCCAAAGATCGCACTCAGGACCTGGGACAGGAGAACGCAAAGCGCACTCAGCCACCGGGTGTCAATATATTGTAAAACTGTAACTAAATATGTTTATCGTAAAACGTTGCATTATAAGGTAATATCTCGCAATTACTTTATTTCGTAATATATTAATACTACTTAAGTTTTAAGCCTTTACTTTCGAATAATAAAAATTGACAAAAATAAGAAATAATAGCAAGAAAGAGTATGAAATGGGGATGATAAATAAATATTATGTCAAATATTTTACTACATATACTATAAATATATATATTTTATATATGTATGTATTTTACTATATATATTTATTAATATATTTTATTTATATATTTTACTATATATATTTTATTATAAATATTTTATTTGCAAATATTTTACGTGCAAATACATTATAAGGTTTATTTAGCTTATACTAAATACAACCAAAGGCATCGAGATCGTCTTCAGTTATTGACAACCGTATCGTGTAATTTTACTATCTAAAGAGAATGGACGAAATAAGATGATAATAATTTTCATATAAACTTTCTTTGTTGATATTAGATGATCTAAGTTTCAATAAAATTGCGCCCCAATATTCCAAGCGCTATTGAAAAGGTATGAAAACCAAAGAGTGCCATTAACACATGTGTTGTTTTATGGATAATTACAATAAGCCTATTATAAAATTAAATTAAAATGAAATAAGAAATAAATTTATTTATGTGTCTAATTAAGAGTTCTTTTAATTAGGGAACTAATTTAATGAAAGAAACTCAGCACACATCTCTTGAAGAGTTAATGAGTCAACAGCAGTGTCCGCGGAAGTATTTCAAGAGTGGGAGGGGTTGCCTACCTCCCTATATACATGGTTAATATAGGAACCGGTATATTAACCGGGTCCTAATTATCTGAACCTCACAGAATGGCAATCAAGAATTCATACCTGCCTACTCTTCTGGATTTTCCGGAAGATTTTATTTTCATATTTAAAGTGGTAGTAAATATATACTATTTTTTCTTTCATAAACTTAATTTTTTAATGATTTTAATCACCACGATTCTTACAAAAATTAAGCAGATATATTAATATGCGTTACTATCATGGTTGTCAACTTAAGTTTTCTCAAATACAACGCATTTGTTTGCTTAAAATTGAAGTTTTAATTCCATTTTAATACCACTGGGAAAAATGATAATGGAAGGGATTAAAAGTTGGCAGGTATGAGAATTCGAACTTACAATTTTAACTTCATGTTTCGAATTGTTTTAAAATTAAAATAAAATTAAATTAGGTATCTCTCATTTAATGGTATTTTTTTTTATTCTATTACACTGTTATTATACTGTTCGCTGTGAAATTGGAAATAAAGAATTTTTTCCTTCAGTCAGATATAGGGACGTATATTTTCTATGCTGAGTGATGCTGAGAGTTTTCACCAAGGAAATGTTAAAGCTCGCTTGAAATAGAGACATTTTTTTTTTATAATTCAGACACAAAAAAATTATCTATTTTTCTTAATTGTAAATTTAATTATTTTAACTAAACAAATATTGAGTAAAAATTATAATCTTAAAAGGGACTGTGTCCATTTATATAATGGAAAGGGGCTAAAACCCCAGTGAACCCCTGGTACAGCGGGCTCTGGTCAACAATGAGTGATAATGCAACAGCTAATCTAATATATCTGAATCCATTAAAAAGAAAAACTTTTTAAAATGATTATATATTTTTAAATACTACATGGTTCCTAATTTGATTGACAAACGCACTTTGTTGCAGAATCTTCTTCAACATTCTTCGGATGTACTGTCGAGGGCTACAAAAGGTCGTGCTCAGTTCCACGCAGTTTCATTCCTTGTACCAGATAAATGGGGAGACATTGATAACTGGTTTCCAAATCGAGACAAGACCATTATTTTTGAAGAACCTAAAGCAGCATTAAACAGAGACGAGGCTGATATAGTAATAACTAATCCCGATGAAGAAGTAAACCCATACACTCTCCATCATCAAGGATGTGGGAAACAGTCTCATAGGATTTATATTCCTTCAAACTTTTCAGTCTCCGGAAACATTCAAGGAAAGAGTATGTCTTTTATTTTGCGACAGTCTTCTAACAGAATATGGAGAGAAAAACATTTACAGATACTTATATTTAGGGTTATTTTTATAGGTGTGGAATTTGTCAGGCTTTGGTCAGAATTCCGATATGGTATTTTTCCTGAAGGTGGATTTGAAAATGACGATAGATTTCCTCCCATATATCGAATTCATAAAGAGGGAATATTTATAGAAACTGGTTGCGTTAACAAACCATTCCGGTATTTTAATTTCTTTTTCCTTCTATTAAACTACATTCTGGAACTGTTATTATTTTATAAATAATTTATTAACAGAATTAAATAGAATTAATTTATAAATTAAATAAGAATTAATTTATAAATTAAATAAGAATTAATTTATAAATTAAATAAGAATTAATTCATAAATAATTTTTATTACTCAAATAGTGTAGATAATAATATTTAGGTTTTAAAACATTTTTAAAAAAATCCGTAAGTATTCTACATTTTTATACGTTTTAATGCATACCCTGACATGCAATTTTTAAAATACATGCTATATTTAAATATCATGTAATATTTAGCTTCATGCAATGTTTAAATTAGCAATGAAATTTAAGAAACCAAACGTCGGGGAAACACATATTTTTAATTTACTCAGCATTATAGTTTTGTCACCATTGCTAATACAGGCTCGATAATCCTATAACTATTAAAAAACGAAAACGAACGGTTTGAAACGAACTTTATTAATATTTAAAGCAGATTTTTTTTTTACTAAGAAAGTGTACCGATATTGTAAATATCTAATAAAACTACAAAAATAAAATTAAGTTCCACCATTCCATTAAACGTTTTTTTCATACAATTTTCTTCATTAAATAGCTGATAAAACTGGGTAGATGAATTTCAGTTCCACAATTCCATTAAACGGCATTTTCGTACAATTTTTTTCATTAAATATCTAATAAACCTTTTAAGAAATAAAACTTGAAAATTAAAACTTTAAAAATAAAACTTAAAAAATAAAATGAAATTCCATCATTATATTTAACGCAATTTCCATAAAATTTTGATGTAGCATTAAACTCGTAACAAATAAGTTTATGCTAGTTACGCAAGTAACATTCAAAAATTTTCTTCTACTAGAATTTGAATTAATATTTATTTATAAATTTTACAGTGTTCCGAATGAATGTGAGGTACCCTGGAATTGTGATGGATATCAAATAATACCTTCTGTTATGGATCAACATTACACTAATGTAAGTAGTTTTATACTGAGAACAAAAGCTCGTTTTATCTTCCACTACCTAAAATTTTTTCCCACTTCTAACTCTCCTTAAAAAATTATAAGTTGTTTGTATTTGTTTAATTGATCGAACAATTTTAGAAAAGAATTTAGATCGAACAATTTTTACTGTTATTTAAATTTTCCTTATTATTGAAAACCAAGTTTTTTAAAGTAATAATAAACAGCCCATTTCCATTCTTTTAACATAACTAAAGGTAAAGAGAATCTATTTGATATCTTTTAACAAAAATTATTGAGATCATTAAGAAAGTATGTTCTAATTTTATTAATTGATATATGGTAAATGGGTCTAAATTTTGTGCCTTTTATCATTAAATTCCTAAGTTCCAAGTTTTCTATAATATTTAAATTACCAGTGATAATATGTTTATGATGTTTATCAACAAAATCAAAATATTTATCCTCCTCACAGTGACATTCATAATCGGATATATTAATACTCCCTAAATTTTTGCTTATATCATTATAGTTAAAAATGGTTCTACCAAGTGATTTGTTATATTTAAAACTTTTAATAATGTTAAAATCTTTTAATGGAAATAAAGCTTTAAAATTTTCAAAAATGTTGTGAAAT